AGGCACAGTGATCTCTGATGAGCAAAACGCAAGAACTTAGATTTCTGTAACCAACAGCGTGTGAGTGTCACATAAATAAAAATCTTTCACTGCGGCATTTGCTATGTACTTTTGTAGCAGTAAAAAAAGCTGTGCACTTTAAAAAAAAACAACACTTTTTTTTTTGTTACTCCTCACCTGAGGATATTCCATTGGTTTTTGGAGAGAGTAGAACGTGGTAGGGAAGGGAGAGGGAGTGGGGTGGGGAGGAGAGAGAGTCAGACAGACAGACATTGATGTGAGAGAGACACATGGATTGGCTGCCTCCTGCACACGCCCCGACTGGGGGCCGAGGATGGAACCTGCAACCCAGGTACATGTCCTTGACCGGGAATCCAACCACGACTCTTCAGTACGAGGGCTGACGCTCTAACCACTGAGCTACCAGCCAGGGTGAACTGTGCTTTTTTTTTTTTTTTTTTTACCTCACACCTAAAAAGAAAATTGTGTTTAAGAAGTAAGGCTGATTAAAATTATATTTACAGTTCTCCAAGAATCTTTTAGAGACGTTCAAATTAATGTGCTTTGGGAGTCATTCAGAAAAGTAAATACCATTTAAGCTTTGAAGAGAAAAGAAATAAAGCAACAGAGGATTGTATAGGCAAGGAATGAGGAAGTGAGGAAATTGAATGTTTTATTGAATTATTTAAATCTATATTAAATTATAGCCACAGTCATACAACATGGTGTACATTGATATACTGCTGGAGTAACAAGCAAGGAACGTGACGTGAGCAGGCTTTCTTTCGGACTGGAAGGACAAACAGTAATTCTCCTGGACATTTCTGCCTAAGCGAGACAAGCAGCTGGGCCCTGGAGGCAATGCCCAGTGACCTCAGACAGGAACAGAACACAGCCGTCAGGCGGTAGGAGTCAGTGGTGAGGCTCCCTGCTCCGCCGGCCCGTTTCTAGAAGGCAGCGTGGGAGAGCTACAGGAACAGTCTCCTGGCCCTGCCCATGAGGGGCCCCAGATGTCACCACTAAGCCTGCATTCCAGAAGGACAGGGGCCAGGGCCAGCCTATTCTGGTGTCTAGAGCAGGGTCTGGTCAGCACATACCTGCTCTGCACTGAAAAGTGAACCCAGATCTGAGACACATAGTGGGAATTAAACAAAGACAGGATGGGTAAGAGAGAAATGAGCGTGAAGAAATATTGCTATTATATAAAAATCTAATCTGGTTTGTATATGGACCTTGTATCTAGTAACCTTGTCAAACGCACTTCTTTCCTCAATTTACACCAGTTATTTCTTCATAGGATTGACAGGTGACGCTGTGTGAGCTGAAGGTGTGCCACAGCCGAGGGCCTGGACCTGTTCTGCCCTGCCTGCCAGCCACTAGCACCACCACAACAATCGGCGTTGGATTTATGTCAATAAGCTGGACAGAAGTTCCACAAACATTTGACACAGTGGCTTTGTAAGGTAGATATTATTAGCTTCACTTTACAGAAGAGAAAAATGACATCTCATAGCACATAAGTGACTTTTATAAGATCGTCCAGTAGGTGGCAAGACTGTCACATGAACTTCGAGTCTCTGCATTTCCTCTCAGGTCAAGGAACCAACGGGGAAATGCAGACAGAAGCAAGCAAGACAGACACACACACACACACACACACACACACACACACACACACCCAGCCCGTTATGGCTGGCACATATGTGACTCCCAGGCAACAGAATGGTTTCCTTAAGCACGGACAAAAGCAGCCTCGTGGTTTTGTGACCACACCCTGCCATGCGTGCAGCGACAGATTGCGCACACGGGAGAGTGCCACGTGAGAACGCAGGGGTGAGACAGAAAGACCTCGTGTACAGGTGAGTTCCGGGGTAGGCTTGAGGAGAGGAAGAACACAGTCTTCAACACAAGCGGAAGGGTGCCTCAGAGAAACCACCAGAAGAGCATCACTGATGGGAAGGTCTACTCTGTCCTCCCTGTCAGACGGCCCTCTCGACAGCTTCCAAAGGTAACTATGAACACGTCCAATCTCCAGACACGATGCCAAACAAGCACAAAAATGTCCACCTTACTTTTTTGGGGGGGATGATGTAAGATAGAGGTCTCTGACAGAGGGAGTTGTGATTGTTTTCTTTAATCCAAAGAGTGGAAACTAAAAAGTTCTAAAAATACGGAGACATTTATGTTGGGAAAATAACATCTTCTCCTAAGGGGCTGGATGAAGGACACATGAGACAGTTCACATGCAAGCCCTTGCCAAATGATAAAGGCTGTATAAGGCTATTCGCTAACCCAACAAAGTAACATCTTACTAAAGCTTCCGTGCGGCGATTTTAAACAGGTACGTTGCTCCTTTTGTAGCATTATAACAGTTGATGCAAAAAGTTCATGAATTATGAAATAGCCTGAAAGTTGAAAAATACGTAACGTTTCAAAATAGCATTGACTTCAAAATCTTTATGCGAGAATGAGGCACTGAAATCAAATCTTAGGCGAATTCACCCCGTATGTGACAGCAGCAATTTAGTATCACATTCGCACTAGTTTCTGAAGATGCATCTGTGGTTTCCCTGGGGCTTTGATTCTGTTCCACCGTCTCTTCCCTGGCACTGACAGGCAGAGGCACTGGCACCTCATTGCTGATGTGGTGGATGGGCAGCTGCCAACCCTGCAGCACAGGGCGCAGCAGGTGCTCCACACGAGGCTCTGGTGCCCTGCCATCTGGGGCTGGACAGATTCTCAGGTGGTCGGTAATACCTGCTCCCCTCCCCCACCTGCCACCACCAAGGTGGCCCCCTCTGTTCTCCCTCTGCCTTTTTATCATACTTTTCCCTCTCCAGTTTCTCTATACTGTCCATTAATTTTATATTGAAACAATGGAGATGAGTAATTGCTAAGAATATATAGTGTGGCTTTTTAAAAAAATCTCTTTTCCGCTCTTCCCACTCCTGGGTACCCAAGTGCCCTTGACCAGAGAAAAGCCATCTTTAATGAGGCCTGAAATTTTTCTAACAGGTAATATTCAGATTGGTCATGTTTAAATAAATCATGAATCCCCACTAACTGGCAGAGGGGTGCAAGTCAGTGGAGTGTGCCTCTCATCAGTGTGTCGAGGCACAACCTCACCGGGTCAGGAAGGAGCTGGCCAGCAGCCAGGGCACAGACTCATCGTTAAGGAACGAAGGCGCCCGTGACGTGTGTTCTGGAGTTTACACTCCGGATATGCCTTGTCCTGGGGGAGGTTCAAGAACAATTCCTACTGAACATCTGAGCTCCAGGAAGCAGAGAGCCAAGCCATCCGAGGAGAGGAAGCCCAGTGCAGGGAGAAAGCGACAGACTGACCTGGAATGAGTGCGTGTCCCAGGACCAAAAGGACAGAAGCTGATGGGCTCCTTGTGTAGAGGGAGGGCCCCCAGGGACAAGGCCTCGGGGGTCATTAGCAGGCAAAGATACTAGGAAGACAGGAGAAGGAGAATACAGAGCCACTGGCTCGGAATGGAGCTCGGGGTCTCAGACAAGGTGCACCTCAGCTATCCACGGAGGGTGCTCCAGAGGCCCAGGGCTCTTCCCCAATTTTCCAGGATGGTGTAAGTCTCAGGATTCTTGCTCTTAATCCAAAGAATGGGTGTGATCCCCACTCCTAATGACTGATATTTGATTTCCCACAGATCCTAGGTGGATGGGAACAAGTCCAGTATCTGGGAACTAATTCATCTATTTATGGATGTTCAGAGTCTAACCACTGCTCATTATGAGAAGCCACAGTCTGTGCCAGGTGGCTCTGCCATCTGTCTTGCCACCGGTAACTGGACAAGCAGTCCAGTGTGATCTGTGTGGTATGGTCTGAAATGTCCAGCTGGGCCAATTCGCTTCTCTTGCCTTCTAGAACATGGATTAAAGAGACAGAAAGAATTTGCTGGGAACTGTGGGCACAGAGCCAAGAGGTCATGGAGAGTTGGGGCTGGCGTGCATGAGAATGAGTGGAAGTTATGTGGCAGAGGCCAGCCAGGAGACAGTGAGGGGACAATAAGACATACGAGAAAGAGAAGCCGAGGTAGCAGGAGCTTGTTGGCTCTGGGAAGCCGAGAGCGCACCTAACTTTCGAACCCCAGCTGTTTTCTGCGAGGCCTGTGCTTCATCCCTGCTCACGACGCACTGTGAACCCACCGCTGTGTCTTTTATGACGAAGCTACCTCCTACCGAAGCTGATTTGAATGGGTGTCTGTTTCTTCCACCTCGAACATCTCATTCTTATGACTAAATCTGAGAATGTATACGCCTGCCCGAGACGTTTCATCTGCGGCACCCAGGCTGATTCTTTTGACCACTGCCTGTGGTTCTGACTTTAGAAGATGTCATTATTTGCTTAGAACGGCCTGGCGTAAGGAAACACATCCAAGGTGGTGACAGCCGAGGCGTAAGTTCTGTCACTTCTGTGACAACTGCAATCGCGGTGACGATCTCTTCACGTGCAAACCACGACAAGGGAAGGCGAGACCACCTAAGCTGAACGAGGTGCCGGTTCCGGGTTCCGCACGCCACCCTCCGGTGCACTGCTTTTCGGGAGGTCTCCGAGGGTGGGCTGGGGCTGCTGGCGGACCGGGTTCAATACTGCTGCCCAGTGAGACCTGGACGCTGGGTGGGCTCACGCTGACGCCTCAGCGCACCGACACCAAAATTACATCCCAACAGCAAGTTTCCCGGAAATCCCTATTTTACAGCACTGGTTCTATCGCTGTGCTTTTGTGCTCTGGCTGAAGAGAACAGCTGAGTGTTAGGGTTTTGACCGGGAGCCTGGGGGAAAGTACTCACAAAATCTAATCTGAATATTCTATTTTTACAACCGATGTCTATTCTTAGAGGTGTAGGAAGAGGGGGAAGAACGTGTCTACATGACACCAGTCAGGGAATACTGCTGGCAAAATTTACTCGTCTGCAAATATCCAAGCCCGCTTTTGTCTGACACTATGTGAAGCTTCACCCCACCCCTTCCTCCTTACCACTGGTGTTTTTTTACGTGAAAGTTTGGTCCATAATTTCACCATGTAGTTTCTGTCTGTAGAATCCAGAAAATCACACGAACTCAAAGAACTAGACTTAGATAGTCCTCTATGTTTCAGCAGAGGTTTCCTTACATCTGGAAGGGGGAAAAAAAATAACACCACTGAAGTTTAAATAAAACGAAAGGCATAAAATAGGATAAAGGAACTTTCTGAAGCCAGAGAAATAATTTCTATCTGGATTTGTCCAAATACAACAACTGGCATACTTAAAGTCTGGACAGTGACCTGAAGTCACGAAGAAGAAAGGCACTCACACATCTGGGACGGAAGCCTCTCAGGCAGAGTGGCTTTGTATAAGGACCCCGGAGCATGTTTAATACAACTGAATTGAAGAATTCAGGGCGGCTGAAGCAAGAGGAAAAAAAGAGAGAGATGGAGAGGCTGGATCCTGTGCACGTAAAAACAAACAAACTCTTGCCCCCCCCCTTTTTTAATTCTCACCCAAGGATATATATATATTTTTTTGATTTTAGAAAGAGAGAAAGGGGGAGAGAGAGAGATGCTAATGTGAGAGAGAAACGTCCATCAGTTAGTTGCCTTCTGAACATGCCCTGACTGGGAATCAAATCTGAAACCTAGACATGTGCCATGACTGGGAAATTGAACCCACAACCTTTCGGTGTATGGGATTACGCTCCAACCAACTGAGCCACTCAGACAGGTCAAAAATCCTTGTCCTTTTGATGGGAATATAAGAATACAGCATTGTGAAAAAGACTAGATAAATGTTAATAAAATTATGATAAAATTTAAAGAAACAGAAGTTATATCCATTGAAATAATTTCTATTGAAAGAATTCTATGTATACAGGGCGTCCCCTAAAATATACACACACTTTGAATAATTATAAAGGCAGTGTTTAAAATAGGTTTCATTTAAAAATGTAATAGAATCTACAATTGTGTGTGTATACATTTTTGAGGGGACACCTATATATAAAAGCTTATTCAAAATATAGCATTTGAGTCAGGGTTCCTTGTTCTAGCTTTCTGAGACGTAAGCCAGTTGTACTACTGTGTAAACAAGCCAAGTTCCATCTGATGATACAATGTAGCTGTAATTCCAACAATTTAATGTATTAATGATTTCTCAGCAACAAAGTATTTTTGGTAAAGATTACATTGCATCGTAGTGCCACCACTTTAATGACTTGGACTCCTATAATAGTTTCACACAGTTCTTAATCTAGTTTCTAATGTCTTAATACATCAATGGACAAGAGATTCTACTTCTCAGTTAAAAAACAACAACACAAAACAACACCCATAATTCCTAATGTTATAATGCCCTACAACAAAGTTTCTTAATGTGATCTTATTCAAAGTACCTAAATTAAAGTCAACCTTGAGGCAACATTAAAAAAATATAAAAATTAATTTACAGCACACAAAAATACCAGGTTCTTCAGTATATAGGCTAAATTTATTTAAACACCTCCAATGAGGCATAAATGAATTTAATGACGCATGACGGATTTTAAAGTTATTTTATGGATTAGTATCATTACCATGTGCAGAAAAATATAAATGAAATATCTGGAACAACCAGAACTACATCTTAAATTAATTCTAAATAGCTTAGACCCTTTAGTTAGAATTATATTATTTTACAGTCAAGTGAATTAAAATAATATTTATATAAACCATTTTTAAAAGAATAAGCATAGAATCCAACCGAAGTAACAAATGCAGGGCCTTTTATTGCATTAGAAGAAATAAATTTTTAAAAAGATGCTGATGATCTAATATTACAGGCCCATAGCCATGTCAATAACTAATAATAAAATTAGGCCCTGGCCGGTTTGACTCAGCAGTTAGAGTGTTGGCCCATGGACCAAAGAGTTGAGGGTTCAATTCCGGTCAAGGGCATGTACCTCGGTTGCAGTTCGGTCCCCAGCCCTGGTGAGGATCATGCGGGAGGCAACCAGTTGATGTGTCTCTATCACATCAATGTTTCTCTCTGTCTTTCTCTCCCTCCCTCCCACTCTATCTGAAAATAAATGGAAAAAAATACCCTCAGGTGAGGATTAAAAAAATAAATAAATAAGTAAAAATAAAATAAAATTAGAATCTGGGGAACAGATAAATGAATACAGTTGACCCTTGAAAAACAAGGGTTGGGACCGCATGGATCTACTTATATGTGTATTTATTTTCCATAAATACTGTAAATATATTTTCATTATGATTTTTTTTTATCCTCACTCGAGGACATTTTTCCATTTCTTGTTCAGATAGAGTGTGGGGAGGAGAGAGAGAGAAACATCGACGTGAAAGGGACACATCGAGTGGTTCACCACCCGCACGACCCAACCAGGGCCGGGGACAAACTGCAACCGAGGTACGTGCCCTTAGCGGGAACCGAACCCGGGTCTCCGGACTGCAGGGCAATGCTCTAACCGCTGAGCCAAACCAGCCAGGGCTTCATTGTGATTTTTAAATAACATTTTCTTTTCTCTAGCTTACTTTGTTGTAAGAATACATTATATAAAACACACAAGCTACAAAATCTGTGTTAGTTGACTGTTCATCAGTAAGGCTTCCTATCTATAATAGGCTTAGTAGCTAAGCTTTTGGGGAGTAATTAGTTATAGATAGATTTTCGACCACATGGGTGGCTGTTGCCCCTAACCCATGTGTTGTTCAAGGGTCAATTGTATTTTTGAAACCAAAAATCATGATTTTAATAACCAAATTTTCTATATTAATGAGATTATATATACAGCAAAATAATTGAGTCACTCCCTTGTCCAAAAGTAAAAGACTTAACACTTTTAAATACATTTTTTTAAATATTTAAATTAAACCTTGCAAGAAATGAACCCACACTAGAGTTTCTTTTCGAAAACACTTGGAAATGTATGACTTGGAAATAGCCTTTCATTTTCAGACGAATGTACTTAGCCAGATGATTTCCATATTGTTCATTTTTTTCCCAAATGGAGTTTTTAAAAAAAAATGTTTATTTAAATAATAGCGAGGTAATATTAATATCAGGTAATAAAAATGCTGTGAGCAATTTTTTAACTAACAAGAATAATTTATACCTGCCATGATTAAATACATATACATACATAAAATGTAAATACCTATAAAATCCCTGCAAAAGTCTCAATACTGAAATATATAAGCATAAAAAGGGTCAAAAACAAAGCACAAAAATTTGCTATACAATTAAAATATTTATTTATTTTCAAAAGGATAGTTACATAATTTGTAGTGGAAAATTAAGGGAACAGCTATTCATTGGGAAGTGTTGTCACAAAACTGAAGGCACCAAAATAATCTTTTTTAGGACAGAAATAAATCTTAAAAGTCCTGTCTATTTGTGCTTATAAGAAAGGAATGATAGCAAGTAGAAAAAGAATAATTTTATATAATATCCATAATTTTCCATAGCAAAATAAGCTTTTAAAGTAGAAAGCTACCATATAAATCCAAGGAAATATAATAATAATGTTCATGTTACATACGGTAAAATGAATATGCTTATTAAACTATTCTAACAGTAAAGTACTTACATTCTTGAATGTTTGATCAAAGGAAGAATCAGGTATTTATTTTTAAATATGTTTTATTGATTTTTTTTTAGAGAGAGAGGAAGGGAGAGGGAGCGAGAGAGGGAAATATTGATGAGAGAAAAACACCGATTGGCTGCCTCCTGCACATTCCCCAGTGGGAACTGGGCCCACAGTCCAGGCATGTGCCCTGTCGGGAAATTGAAGCAGCGACCTCTTGGTCCATGGGTCAACGCTCAAACACTGAGTCACACCGGCTGGGCAATAATCAGGTATTTAAAGAGAACAGATTCTATTTCAGGACAAAGGAAAGCATGTGAGTGTATTCTCACACAGAGAGAATGAGATAAAAAAAAATATTTCTTGCCACTGAACTTCATACATCAAATGTGGTAGAGGCCGTGTACCTACAACATCTTCAGTAGAGTTGAACTAAGGGCTCAATATTTGGACACTGTATTCAGAATGTCCTAATTAAAACATATAACAAAAGTACCCTGAATCTCAGTTATTTAAAATGGATGGCTTTATCCTGAAGCAGTTAATTGAGACCTTGAAGAAGATACCATATAGGACAGGTAAATTTCAGGTGGAGAACTTGTACAGAAAATCTGGATGTGTATAGAATTTGGGAAAGGGGAAAGAGAAGAGTAGCGATGACTGGCAGGAAAAAGGATGGAAACCTTGAGGGAGCTTGAACATGCACTAAAAGTTTCCTCTCCATTGAGAAATATTGTTTGATAACTAGAGTTCTGAGGTGATTTCCACCCAACCCTACATCCCCACCTCGGGGGTAGGTGTGGACTTGGCTTGATAAGGGCTCATCCTTCAATAACAACTCTTCCAAAGATGGGGATGTAGGGTCAATTCCTCTAGCAAAGACATTTTTTTTTTCCACTTTGCTTTTCTATTTTTGTCTTTGGAAACTGGTAGTTTTAGATTTGGTAGCTTGTAGAAGCCAGTCTGTCTCAACCCATCACAAAAAGAAAACAAATGCTCAAATATCCAGTAGTTTATTCCCGAGTCAAGTAACTTGACAGCATTTACCATTTAACCAGGTTGAAACCTAAAATATAAATGTCTTTGATTTGATCAGTAATTAAATAATAATAGTAAAAATAATAGGTAACATTCATTGAGCATGTCCTATGTGCCAGGAGCTATTTTACAAGTCTTCTCTGTGTGTATCACAAGTGAGTGTCAATGCTGCCTGAGAATGTCCATGAGAGGATCTCTTGAACTAAGTAATATTTGCTGAACCACAATTTCTTTCCAACATTATTCTAATTCTGCTTAAGCTCCTTAATTCAATGAAGGGTGTTGATGTTTTTAAAAGGATTTTCAGAGAATAGCATCCCATTTGCCAAATACTCACACCTAGTTTGATCAGTGTTGTCCTATTCCATTTAATGATAAAATGCTACTTAAAAACAGCAACCCAAGTGCCCATCAATAGATGAGTGATTAGCCCAGCTAGTGTGGTTCAGTGGATTGAGTGTTGTCACATGGACTGAGAGGTCCTTGTTCGATTTCCAGTCAGGGCACATGGCTGGGTT